ATTTTAACATCCTATATAAACCGCGTGGAGTGGTTTAAATAGCGTCATATAAGAAACCGCTCGACCAATCAGATTGCTGGGAACTCTTTGCTCAGCTCTGAATTATACTAACGCTATTTAGTTGATTTTGAACACTGCTTTGTCACACTCTAAACAGCAACAATGTTTTTATCGGCTGTTGACAGCTGAACCATATTCCTCTTCAGACTTTAGCAAATCACTCGTGGGGTTATATATATGAAAATCCTCCATCGCCAAAGTGGCCATTTGAGACAAGTTCAAGGAAAGGCCTAAACCTGCAGTCTTCGTCGGCGAACGTGCTTACCACACCTACAATGTACATTAAGTGCTTTTTTTTATAGAATGACCCAAAACAAAACTCGCTAAGAAGAATGTTTTCATTCAGAAAGGCAAAGCGTCAAAATTATATTCGTGCTAACCTATGTGGTGCGTGGTTTGAAACTGGTAAATAGCAATTCCAAAACGGACGCTCAAGAGTGTGTAGTGAACCACCCTTTTCTCTTGCCGTGACTTCAATATCCACAGATAAGCAAGCACTTAAAAAAACGGATAAAAAGGAATTGGCGACGAAATGGGGTAAATCAAATTGAAAATTGAAGTTTGTACATGAGAATTTAAAGAACCACGAGCTGAAAAAAAAACAATCAAAATGACACACAGAAGGGAAGCGAATGTATCACAAATATCAATATCCTCGCAAAACTCAGCGCATCGTCGTGGTTTATCATTAGGTTTTAAACCCAGATAGCGGTCATTGTAGCGATTATATTCAGTTTTGACTTTTTGCTACTTTTTATCTGTCTTTCAAGAGTATTTCTGCAGTTAAGTGTGGTATTTTTTCATCTTCTTTTGATACTGGCCACGTCCAAATTTTGCCTTCATTTTTCCCCTCAATAAATCTGCAAGATAGGGAAATAATTTTGCCAGATAATATTCTACCATTAGATGCAAAAATCGAGAATCTTTCAATGGTGGGCAAATGCACATAATTTCCCAGTAGACATATTTAGATTTTTTTGTCCCATTTACGTAACAGATCTTCCTAAGACTTACTTTGACCCTAGGTGTAAGTTAGATTAATAAAAAGATGACAACTTCTTTTCCTGAGGGAAAAAAAAAAAGAGAAAAATGTCACCCGACGACAGTAACAAGCATCCTAAACAACCCGAAGGTACATATGTGGACATGGCTGATCATTGTTAGTTGTATTGTTCATAAATGAATCTTAATACTAAATATTCGTCGGGAAAAGTACCTCTTAGCTCATTGTTAATGATCCTACATGATACTTTTCCATAGTTTTGTAAACATGTTTTAGAAGAGAAGAGGGGATGATCAGAAATTGTGTTTTGAGACAATTTTGTTAGAAATACAGTAGATGGTTTGGATTTTTTTGAGGACGTCGATCCCATACCATTTCAATTGACATAATAGATCTTTTTGTGATTAATTGTGACCTCAAGGTTAAGTTAGGTTAAGATGGAGATGACAACCTCTTTTCCTCAGGATTAAGAAAGAGGCAAATGTCATCTGGCTGCAGTTACAAGCGTCTTAAACAACCCAAGGGTACCTATGTGGACATAGCAGGTTACTGAATTATAAATGTACAGAATTGTACAACGTAGATCCCATTCAATCCCAATTTACAAAACAGATCTTTTAATGATTTTCTGTGACCTCAGGTTTATGTTAGATCAATATGGAGATGAAAACCTCTTTTCCTCAGGAATAAGAAAGAGTCAAATGTCATCTGGCCGCAGTGACAAGCGTCTGAAACAACCAATCTTAATACTACACATCCGCTAGAAAAAGCAACTTTTAGGTCATGAGAAAAGACTCCTATTGATGTTTCACCCAGATTTGTGGTCAAAAGGTTGTGGAAGAGAAGAGTGGATAATCAGAAATTGTAGTTGTTGTTTTTTTTTTTTTAATCATTGATGTTATCGTAGCATTTTCGTTTGTCCTCGACGGGGAGTGTGTGTGTAGGGGGGGGGGAGGTAGTTACATAAACACAAATTAAGCATTACCCATCTCATCAGTTGTTCGAAGTTTACTAAAATGCAATCTATTGTACTTTTCTCCAACTGTTGCAATCTGTAACTTCTGGCATAACTGGGTTTCTTTTTACGTTTTCCTTCACTTTAAGCCATTGCTATAGTGCTAGTGAGTTATCATAAGAAGGATAGTATCGGCTTGCCTAATTTAGCGTAACTGCTATCTCTTTTCCTTTATTATTTCCACTCAATGTCCCTTATTTTCGATTTAATCTACCATGTTACAATTCTGCCAATGTTTTTATCCTTGAACGAGATACCAAATCCAAGGGGAAGAAAGAAAACCTCGTGAAAGTGAGCAGGGTACCACCAGGGTATCAGAATCTTGTTTTGTGGATGTTGCGTGAATCGATTTTTGCTTTAAAGGCATCACCTTTTTTTGTTGATCTAATTTACTTCCCATGTTGGCCATATTACTAAAGGTAGTAAACTACTTGATAGACCTTTACTCAGCTTCTAGAATGTTTGTTGCTTTAAAGTAAGTTTCAAAAAATTACTTTTGTCTGTGCTTCATTTGATTCTTTCAGAAAACCAACCAAGTTCTGGTAGGAGTTTAAGAGTGTGTGTGTTTATCAATCTTTCAATATATCTGTCTACCTGTCTATGACTTTATCTATCTATCTATTTTACGGTACTTTCACAACCGAAAGAAAGATACAACTCGTACCAAGTCACCTACTTTATTGACTGACGTAATAATCTTACTATGGAGCAATACCAATAACCAATATAATAACTATCCTCGTAAAGCCCTCTATAAAACTATAATCTCAGTGTACAACTGCACAACTCACAGTTCTCTTCAAAAATCCTTGTGACTTATTAATGTCCACAAAACTTTTCTCAACGTAGCCTTCCATACGGCTAACAATTCCAGTAACAGTAAATGATTCCAACAACTCTCTCTAGTCCGGCTCTATAATAACACTAGCTTCTCTGGGCTCTTCGCAACAGCAACTCCATTGACACTCCGCGACAACACGCTGTTTCACAATACACTGAGCTGGCTCTGCTCTAAAAGAAAGGCTAACTTCAACCGATCGCGACTCCTTATATATCTTTTACAAAATGTTCTAGAATATTCCAAAGATCTGTAATACAACTATTTTTAGTATCATTACATCACTATAGCATCATAACAAAATATGCTGACTAAGGGTTCTAGAAAGTTCCATTAAGAGTTGTTAATGAGTCAGCATGACTAAACGTTCCAGAAACTTCCTCAGTTCTATTTTTAGTAATTCGTAACACAACGCTTTCTAGAAAATACGGGCACTCTTTATAACAGTTTATCTACTTATCTATCTATACATTCATATATCTCTATATCTCTCTATCCATCTCACTATCTATCTATTTTTATCTATATATATAGCTACCTTTATCTATCCAACTTTTTATCTATTTATTTATCCATATATCTAGCTGTCTACCTAACTCTTAATCTAACTACTTTTCTATTTATCAATCTGTTCATATATCTTCCTATCTATATATCTACCTATCAATATTCCAATCTATCTATTTATCACTGCCAGCAATCAAAACTGGCAGCAATAGACCTCACTGCCAGCAATCAAAACTCCGTCAAGAATACGATCTACCAACTCATAACTAAACAAGAATTGCCGGCCACAGCAAAAAATCTCATCATAATCACTCCTAGAACTTCTCGTATTTACTTTTTACCTAAAATTTACAAACCTAACAACCCGGGTCGGCCCATTGTCTCGGCTTGCAGTTCCCCTACCGAACTTATCTCCAGCTATCTAGACAAAATTATGGCTCCCATCGTCAAAACTTTACCATCATATATTAAAGACAGCCAACACGCTCTTCAAATTTTTCGAGACTTTAATTTCCTTGGCCAAAACAAACTTCTTTTCACCATGGATATTACGTCTCTTTACACTGTCATTCCTAATGGCGAAGGCCTTCTGGCCCTTAAACATTTTTTTGATCAACGTACTGTTAAGGAACCTAAATCTGAAACACTACTACGCTTAGCCGAACTAGTGCTCACACTCAATTGTTTTTCATTCGGAAACAACTTCTTCAAACAAACCAATGGTGTAGCCATGGGCACCAAAATGGGACCTAGCTATGCCAATCTTTTTGTAGGTTTTGTCGAACATCAATTTTTCAGCCAATACAACGGGTCCAAACCTGAACTCTACGGTCGCTACATCGACGACT